CGACGATCTCTTCTTCTCATAAGAAAATAATCAATTTGTGTTTTATTAGATCCACTCTTATAAGTAATAAGATGTTCATCCCTTTTCTTGAATAAAGTATTAGTAATAACAAAATCAAACGCTAAAGCAAAATCTAAAATAGTTTTATCTTCTTCATTAGTTACTCCAAAACCGTAGCCACCATGAATATTTCTGAAATCTTCTACCACTCTACCGACATGTCCATTTAAATCTCCTCCAACAAAAAATCTTTTTTCAAGAGGTATCATTTGTATTAAGTCTTCTAAGTCATTCCAAAATTTATCTTTAGACTCTGTATCTAAACCTACTTGAGGAGCATAAACACTTATAATATTAAAAATCTTAGTATCAATGATAATCTTAAGGGCTATAATTCTATCACCAACTCTATTAATTTTTACAACATTATCTTTCAAACTCTTATCTATAATTACACCTACACCATTTCTAGTGCGACTCTTACTAGAATACTAAAGTTTAAAACCTAAATTATCAATCTCCTTAGCCTTTTCTCCCACCCACTTAGTTTCTTGAATACATAAGATATTAATTTTCCTATGAATCATAATATCAACTAATTCCATTAATTTACCATTGAGAGTGCCTATATTCCAAGATCCTATCCTAATATTAGTTTCATTAGTTTTATGGACTAACTTCTTTACCCGCATTCGCCCGTAATGTTGGAACCCTTGCTTATTTAACAGTACACCCGTATCACCAACTCTATAGATTTTTTTTCACGAGTAAATATCATTAATATATGATTTAAATTATTATATGACTTTCAAGCACATATTAGGAAAGTCTAGCATACTTATTGCCTTCTTTTCGTTAGGTTATTGTAGTTTAAAACTATAATTGCTCATTGAGTTATATTGGATAACTCATCTTGTTGTTTTAATATTTTTTAGATTTAAGCTTTTGAATAGAAGATAAATATTAAAAAAGAGTATGTACAAAAGATGAGGACAACAATTTGAAAGGTAAACTTTTTATAGGTTAAATTAAATTACTTTCTTCAGTGTATCTTTCAATTTATTTGGATTGTAAACTATTAATTATAGAAAATAAAAATATAAAATTTTAATTTCACCGTCCGACCATTCCTTCTTGCCATAGAAATTCCAATACCTTGGGCCAGGTCAGGTCAGGTTCTTCATTTATTTGTTCAGTGATAAACAAAATGAACACAGGCCGCCTTTTGGTCAAAGTATTATTGTTGAGCTGCCATGCAAGCATCTAATAATCTTGTGCTTGCTACTTAAAAATGAAACTGCTGTGTGGTTTGTGTTTAGGAGTGCCTCAACCTTTTGCCCTATTTTTCTGATTAGAAGGTTGGGAAAATAATGCTCAAAGTACAATGTATGTAATACGCACATTAATATAGAAATTTCCTGCTGCTTCATTATTCTGCAAGCAATTTATCTGTGATATTTCTTAAGCTTATGAGATCTATGTTGGGGTAGTTTCAAGGAAGTGAGTTTTGCTGGCTTCCTCTTGGCTTGCCGCACAGTGATCAACTGTTCGTTCATTTTACTTAAAGATAATGGTGGTTAACAGATTTCAATGTTAATCAGGGTGCAGCTGGTGGTGCAGAGGCCAGGCCCTTCATTACATACCATAATTCACTTGAAAGAAATCTATATTTGAGAATAGCAACAGAGCTGCATCTGAAGAGAATGTTGGTGAGAGCCTTTCTACCCCTTCAACAGTTATTTGCTCTAGTAAGAGCAAGTATGTAGTGACTATATATTTAAGATGCTATTCTGTCTTTCCCACATGAATAAAACTTCAATGCAGCTAAATTAATCTGATGCTGCAGAAGGTGAATAGAAAGCTTTTTAGTGTATTTGATATTGTTCATTTTGTTTGACAGGTTGGAGGATTTGAAAAAGTTTTTGAGATAGGAAGAATTTTCCGGAATGAGGGCATCTCATCACGTCATAATCCTGAATTTACCACTATTGAGGTCCCTTCTATTTACAATTGTTGTTGCTCATGCTGCTTCCGTTTGTTATTGTGATTTTTGCAAATTATTTTTTTTCCAAAGTTTTAACTTGGTGAATTGTTAATTAGCATACGCTGCTTTCTTTTGTTATTGGGATTTCTGCAAATTGGTTTTGTCAAAAGTTTAACTTAACCATCTAAATTAGATGATCTTTGATGTTAATAAGATAATCTTGTGGTACTGATATCTTTTGATTTTAGCTTGGGTCATAGATGTATGAGGCACTTTCTGACTACGAAAGTATGATGGACAAGGCTGAAGAAATCATTACCAGATGCGCACTCAGAGTACATGGAAAGCTTAAAATTAATTACCTGGTAGTATTCTAATGCTTTCATGCATCACGTCTTTCAGCTTGAATCAGAATCGAATTTTTGAATACTTTATCTATATATTGGTGACGATCAGACATATTATGTGATGGATATCATTAGGAATATAATTCAATAGATCTCTAAAATGCAATTGTAGGAACTACTAGAGTTTGCTCAAGAAAAGAAAAATAAATTGAAAAAAAAAGGTCATGATAGAGATTTATGGCATTTGCCTCATTGCATTGTGGTTTATTTGCTTCTTTTGCTCTCCATATTTGATTTCATCTTTGCTTTTTGATGTGATCTATTCATGTCTTTGAACTTACAATTATTCTCTTAAGTCCTAGAAATTAATAGCCTCTTTTGATTTTGCATGAGACAATGGCATACTTATTACCCAGTCAAGTGAACATGTTATATCCCTTTGCTTTTTCATTTTGTATTTTTATAGGATTTGAACCCCTCTACCTCATCTTGAGGTCGATGCAACTAGCAACTAAGACCCGATCATGATATTTGAAAGCAACTATGCACATAAAATGAAGCTGATGTGATGTTATAGCTAATCATCTTATCTTAAAAGATGATGAAATGACACTCTTTTTGCTTAAATATTGTACGATATGAATACTACATGCTTATTTATTATTTCTGCACTATCATCGATTTGATTCTTGGCCTCAACTGCTAATTCCATTTTCCACTCCTACCTTATAAGGTATGGTGCAATTGAATAAGCGCATATTGATAGTCTACAGTTTGAATTTCCAACCAATTTTCCTTTTTTAAAGTGTTAGTAGTGATTAGTAGATTCATATTTCTACATTACCCGAAAAAATGACTCATTACAGATTTTCTATCATTTGAGTTTTATGGTCAGTTTGTGTGTGATCATTTCTTCTGGATGTTGTTATCCGGGATTGATATCTAACAAAATGATTTATTGGTTAGGTGTGCCATGAACCATGTTCCTTGTACCTTCATGGTAGAACACATGGACTTATCAGATATAAGGCAGTTATTAGAAGTATGGTTTTGCTGATTAATGCTTAAGGATGACTTTGAGTTGAGCTCAAATTAGTTGAGACTGACTCAAAGTTGAGATACTCTCAAGTTTTGTTCTTTTTGAAGTCTACTTAAAATTGCAGTGCTCTTAGTCTAGTCTCGATTTCAATCTAACTCGAAATCAAAGCAAGTCAGCACAATATTTTAAAATTTCTGGCTTACAAATCAGTCCCTATTATTCTATTTTGAGTTGGCTCGAATCAAAATGTTTACTGTCACGTTCCTGCCTGGTGCTTAGAATTAATTAAGACAGGAACTACGATCGGATGATATTACCATTTCATTTTATTTTTCAAAAATTTAAGAAACTTCCAATATTGGTAAAAGAGCTACTAATCCACAAAGTGAAATAAAAATTTAACCATCCAGAAATAGCATCATAATCGAAAAATAATATCTCAAACCAACATATAAAGTATCTCTATACGGAAACAAATAATTAAAGTAACTAAAGTCATATCATAAACTAATATTTATTAGTAGTAGTGATCTTCCTCTTGTAAACCAAGTATTTCTTACTAAACTTAACACCTAGCATTTTTCTTCTCCTGAAAGAAAATATTAATTGCAATTGTAAGTACAACTTACTGAGTAATTATAATATAATATGCATTAAATTCTTATGATATGCTATGCAAGAATGACAAAAAAAATGCAGTTCATTTCATTAGATTTTTAAAATTTTCCCTTCCCGTTTCACATCAAGTATTTATCAATTTAATTTTTTTAATAGTCATTACAGGATTACTGTCATATTCAAGGGTATCCTAAAAAATGTGCCTAAAGATACCCTAAAAATGATGTGTTTGAAGACACCCTCAAATATGTACCCGAAGGTACCCTCAAATTGCACCCAATGAGTCACCATTACCATTTACTTTAACGTGCATGGGTACAATGCATTCTCAGTACCATTTGGTGGTAATTCTGTATGACTCTACATTTAATTTTTATTTCATTCCATTTAAATTGCATCCTTTTAAAGACGTTGAGTATTCTTTTTCTTTTTCTCCTTTCATTTCCTTTCATTCTTAAGCTACAACATGTATACAAGCATAATTTTCTAAATCATTAAAGAATTTTTTATTAAATAAGCTTTAAATTTAATACATATAAGAAAATAATTACTCACCTTGACCTAAAATGCCCGTGAAAATGCTTATTCCTTCATTTCCCTTCCCCTCGTACTTTGACTTCTCCATCGGCCTATAATTAAATGGCTTGATAAATTAAAATCATTTGATATAAAGTTAATACCACCTTTACTTAAACTAGTTATAGAATTAACTCATAAAATTTATAAATCGTTATCTTGTCTTTCTTTGAATGCCTTGATTCAATCCCCTATATATATATATTAAAATAAAAAAGATACATAAAAGGTTATATGAGAGAGCCCAATTGAGGCACCCTACTCATACGATATCAAGTACGGTAATACCCCAACAAAAAGATACAGATAGACTAAAAGAAAAAAAAAATATTAAACATGTTGAAAACAAGTGGCTAGGGATGAGCCGGTTTAGTCCTGCCTTTTACTCTAGTTTTAGGAGCGGAGCCAAATAACAAACTTTGAAGTGTCGTGTCATTGCCAAGAGTAACTAAAATATCATTCATTAAGTTTCCAACTCGGAGTGTGCCCTCAGCCTTTTTCTTCTGCCGAGAAGTATAAACCTGCCATTTTTCATCTGAAGACTGGCTCATGTGATCATCGATTTTAATAGATATTAGAACCGCAGTTTAGTCCTGAAGACTGGCTAAAGAGTAACTAAAGAGGAAGGACGTCTCACTTTAGTCCTTCCTATGCTTCTAGTTCTCATAAGTTAGCCGACTAACAAATTAGTAAGGTGAGTACTATTGCCCGAAGTAATCAAAGTATCATCCATCAGATTCCTGAGCTCAAGTAAGTCTCCATTCTTCTTCTTTCTCCTGGATGTGTAGACCTGTCATTCCTCATCCGATGATTGACTTATCTGATCAATAGATTGTTCCAAAGTTGGCCGGACAGGTGTAGACTGTTGTACATCATGATCCCCATGAGTCTGAGTTACATTAACAACTTACTCGACTTGATGAGATGGTAGTGAAACAGTAGAAGCATTGCCACCTGTAATATCTGTGATAGATTCTAGGACAGGTGGGGTCTGAAGAATCTCCCTCTCCCCCATGATAGGAGGTTCCAAAGACGGGGGAGCTACAAAATTGTGTGGGGACTGAATGGTTGTCATATTGTCTGCGAGAATAGTGACGTTTTCAGGGGTATCATTTTGATGATCAATAGTATCAATAACTTGGAGCTGATCAGGAAGAGATGAATACACTGCCTCTGGCGAAACACTATGCTTTTTTGGTCTGAGGTGGGGGTTTAGATGGTGATATTGAGAACTAGAGTGGTCGAACATACGATAGTTCGAACAATAAGAAGGAAAAGGCTCTGTGCCCAACCAAATTTCATCAGAAGCGGATGAAGTGATGTCTCTTTCAATTAGTACTCTGACTTCAGATGAACGAGAAAGATTAAAAGTAGGAATGTCCGTTTTGAATGGCTTACCATAAGCTAAGCCAATAGAGTACAAAATTTATTGAGTTAAATAATGGAATTTCAGACCAAAGAGGCGAATCCAAACCGAAATGATTGGTGATTTCGTCTATGGGTCAAAATTCACAGACCATTTCAGAATCTTTATTGCTCTGCCATCAATCCAGATTATCCTTTTAGCAAATAAGCGTCTGTAATTCTCTTCATTATTAAGTTATATAAGAAGGTGTCTTCCATTTAACAGTCTAATTTTCCACTCCCAACAAAGGGCATAAGCTTAAATTCCTTATGAATCAGCTCTATTTTGAGATGACCATACATAAATTTCTCTATTAAATTCAGTCGACAGAAGGAAACAAGTTTAATACCTTCTGTTTCTGTAAAAAAGATTACAGATTTCCCATTATTCCTATCAGGTTTCTTGATGTCCTCCGCCCACTCAAACGAAGGATGGAAAGAATACGATTTATGTGTACTTGAGGCGTGGACACCAGCAAGGGCAACAACATACGATCTGTCCGAAGCCATCCCCAATAGATGGAGGTGCGGCGTTAAAAACTGTAAGAAAGAAAAACAGAGAGCAAAATTCGAATTAGAACAGGGAGCAGGAGCAAAAACTCCTATGTGAAGCCCTTGCGATTTCAGCTCGAGCCCGAGGACAGAGGGCAAAGTAGAAAGTCGTAGAAGTCGAAGCCGCGGAAGTCGCAACAGACAGTCAGAGCGAAGCCGCAGAAGATGGTCGAAACCGTAGAAGACGGATGAGCTGAAGACAGTTGAGGTGAAGCCGCGGAACAGGCGCAGCTCGATGAGCTCTACGAAGACGAAGGGTCACGAACGGGAATAGAGGAGCAAACTCCCTTTCTTCTTCGAGCTAAAAAAACTATAACAAACTCTAGTCTCTCCCATTCGATATATATATATATATATATATATATATAATGGCGTCGGCAGGGGGCTCTGCTAGGGTTTCGCGCGATGGCGATTCCCGACGCTGAAACTATTGAATCCACTTATTTCCTCTGCCTAAGCTTGCAAGTCGTCTCTCCAACCCGACGACGTCGTTTTTTGTTTGCCTTCCCTAAGACGACGGCGACGTCTTCCGTTGCGCACGTCGTCTCTTAACCAACGACGTGATTTTCTGCTAGCATTCGCCTCGTCTTGTAGGCACTCGAAGAAGAATCGCACATCGTCTCCTAAACGACGACGCGCCTCGCTTGTCCTGCTCGACAGACGTTGTGGAACGTCGTCTCGCAGAAGGTCGCACATGTCTTGCCTAGCAGACGGTTCGCATCCTGTTCGCTTCTTTGCAGCCTGCTAGACTATTTCTCTTCTGGTGTGACCATCTTGTGAGGGAGATGGTCTGGATGCTCCTTTCCTATGCAAATGCTCTGACTGGCGA